ATATATATATATATATATATATATATATCTAAATGATTATAATTTATATTTTATTTGTCGCTTACATGGATTATTAATAAATCATCATTAATGATGGGTACACTACATATTTAATCAGATAAAATACCATTCATAAAATCATAAAGGGGCAAAAACATTTTTTTCGGATCCAAAATACCGTATGTTCTGAATTACAACTGACTAAGATAATATCAGCCGTCAACAAGTTAGTATTTCTAATATAATGCAAACCACCCTATTCCGAGGCTTATTAGTTTTTTAATCATTTTAGGAAAATTCACGGTCTAATCACAAATATACGTACGTACTATTGAAATTCTATTAATGATTTCCATATTTATAAACTTTATAGTATGCTTTAGTCTAGCCTCCACTAATGGGTTGGACATTGCTGATTTTCATACCCCATTAGTGGTGACGTACACTTGAATAAACCTCGTGAAGGTCGTGTCAGTTTACTGTGTATATTTATGATTAAATAATAATATCTCTGTACAGTTGCTATGCAGTATTATAATATATTATTAATAAGGTTAACGCATCTTAATTGTAGTCAACAGCACGAGCAGCTTTGCTTTTGCGGCGCTGGTGAAATTACAGGCACATGGGACTTGACAACTTATGTCTCATGGTGACGGGCGCAGTGGCAGGCGCATAAGATCTTTGCAATTGAAAACTCTGAGTGGCACTGCAACTGTTATGGATAGGCGCACGACTTGTTCGTCCCGTCACTTGATATTATAAAAAAAAATCTTATCATATCGATACTTGTTTTATTTTAGGACTATATTGACTTTGTATAACATGTTGCCACCTTGACTGCGTTATCCGTTTTTAGGGCACAAGGGGCACAACCGTAAGTCGTTCATGGACTGTATTGGGGCACCTTAGTCACATTATGTCAGACTAGCATCCCTGAAACCACATTCACATATCTTGCCTGTGTAGCAATTGTATATGTGGCCTGTGGTAGCAACCTACCTAGGTCCGACGTCGATTTAAGAACTTCCACACGGGCCATCGCAGATCATAATCTGGTGATAGTTGCTCTTGAAAGTTAATGAAACCAGGTTGTGGAGGCTTTTTTTTGTTTTCACAGACGCACATAATATGTCGGTGCAATACCTGCCAGACGGTATACCATATTGAGAGGTGTTGGCTTGAGATAACCTCTTATGATAAGAACTGTCCAATGCCAGAATAAAGGTGCTTTTACAATGCCTACGACCACCGCCGTACGGGACATTCTTCATCTGATAGGCTTTTTCTGCTAATTCTTACATTGTTTTAAAATATACATAATGTATTTTTACTCAAAGGAATTTTAATTCCGCCTGCATGACATCGGTTTAAATAATATGTGTACCTGACAACCACACCAATTGCCTGGTCTCAAACTAGGGAAAAAAACAGGGACACTTCCCAGAATGCCCAGACCAGCCCAACCAATTTAGAAAAGTTCAATCACAAATTGGTCCTGCCGGGAATCGAACCCGGGACCTACTCATCCTGTGGCCACAGTGCAGACCGGGGTGGGCCACCAAGGTCGTCGAAATGGTAAAATAGCTTTGACAAAATGAACCATTTCGATTAAAAGTTACTGTCATATATTAGGGGTTAAAGTATGAAATTGCCGTTTTATTGCAATAGGTTCTTTGAATTTTCATAGAATCTTCATGGTTTGAGGTTTTCGAATGAAACGTTTTTCAAATGGTTTCTGTGATTTTTTTTTTAAATTTGAAACATTTGAATATCGACTTTCAATTGTTTTTGTTATTCAATTTAGACAAGAAAGATGGATACTGCGAAAATTCGAGTGATTTTTGAATACGAGTTCCGACGCGGAACTAACGCGGCAGAAACAGCCCGCAATATCAATGCTGCGTTTGGAGAGGGGTCTACTAATGAACGCACCGTGCGATTTTGGTTTAAACGCTTTCGTGATGGAAATTTCGACTTAAAGAACGAGTCACGAGGAAGACCGCCCACACAGGTGAATAACGATGAATTAAGAGAGATAGTGGAAGCCGATCCTAGTCAAACTACCCAGGAATTAGCGGCATGGTTTAACGTTACCTTACCCACAATATTGACTCACTTGCGTCAAATCAATAAAATAAAAAAATACGAAAAATGGGTGCCTCATGATTTGACTGATCTGCAGAAAGAAACGCGTGTTGAAACTTGTGTTGCCTTGTTGAACCGGTACAGAAATGAAGGAATATTGGATCGAATTGTAACATGTGATGAAAAGTGGATTCTTTATGATAACCGGAAAAGAAAAATGCAATGGCTGACCCCAGGTCAAATGCCACAACAGTGTCCTAAAGCAAAACTTACCAATAAAAAGGTAATGGTAACTGTTTGGTGGTCTCAGCATGGTGTTATTCACTATAGTTTTCTCCGATCTGGTCAAGCAATAACGGCAGATGTCTATTGTGCCGAACTCCGAACCATGTTGACAAAACTAGCAGTAAAACAGCCCCGACTCATGAATCGATCTTCACCATTATTGCTCCACGACAACGCGAGACCTCACACAGCACGAGAAACCATTTTGACCCTTCAGGAACTGCAGTTAGAAACCATTCGTCATCCTCCGTATTCACCAGACCTTGCTCCAACGGACTACCATTTTTTTCGTGATTTGGACAATTATCTACGTGACAAGAAGTTTTCTTCCCAGGAGGCAGTACAAAATGCTTTCACACAGTTTGTGCAGTCTAGATCGTCGGAGTTCTATCGCAAAGGCATTAATAACCTTCCCATTAGATGGCAGCAATGTATAGATAATAATGGCAACTATTTTGATTAAATAAATTTGTTAAAAATTTAAAAAATAAACAATTTAGATTTTCAGTACAAATCGGCAATTTCATACTTTAACCCCTATTATTATGAAGTCAATAAACGGAAATATTACTCAGTATTGTTTCTAATAAGTCGCCTTCAATATATATAGTGTTTGATGTTAAACTAAAAGAGTACAAATGTAACAACGGAAAAAAATGTTTTCTATATCTATCTGTTTTGGAAATATTTCGCATAATGCGAAACCACAAACCATAATATAAAATATAATTCCTAAAGACCGGAGCCAAAGTATATAGATATCGTTAGTGCCCCTAAGGTGCCAAACCGTCTTTTTCTTTTTAATATATATGTTAGTCTACGCGGACCTTAGGCTATGGAAACCAACATCCTCTAAGACGCGGACAGCGTTTTAGTCAAAGACAAATTATGTGCCTTTTTTGTTTTGATACCATAGAGCACATTAGACAAAACTTATCTGCTCTGTAGTTGGTCGTATCCAAGTTGTCTACTATGCGAAAATTGTTGGATTTTTGCATTAATGATGGAAAAAATTGACACTAAGACTTTTGTGGTTACACACGTTTTGAGTTCTTAATTCTTTATTATCTTTTTGAACTAATAAGTTTTAGCCAACACTCAATAAGTAAATATAATTCATTTTTATACTGTTATTCTTCTTATTCATATAGTAACGATAGTATATACTACAATGCTTGAAATTGTATTTATATTATAAGATTCGTCTACCTAACTTTATATGCCAAAAACACGCAATTAGAAATAAGAAACCATGCTATTTTCAGTCTCTTTTCCTACATTCATGCCATAATGTGATCATAATCACATTTTAACTTATTTGTTATAGAGTTGTAAGTAGGCAGTTATAAATAATAATAGTTAAAGTTTTGCCTACTGTTTAAAGAAAGAGAAGCATTATTAGATTGTATAAATGTGCACAAGCAAGAGATAATTACTAAAATATTCTTCTGATGCTGGTATCTTTTTGAAAGATAAAAAAAGTACACACACTAAGTTTTCCGTGTTCTGCGTACCAAGCAAATTGTATATCTAAAAAAATAAACCTGTAAAACAACAGAAACGCAACTAATTTATACAAGAAACTATATACTATAGGAAACTGTCTTATTAGCTCGACGACAGGTGTGTTATACAATACTTTAGTATTAACGGCGTACATACGTCGGCGTCTACGTCGTACGTAGTCATTATTCCCTTGCGAATTGTAAACATAATATTTTTATCTTTTATGTTTTAACATAAATAAATGCATAAAATAAATAACTCCTTGTACCAAGTTTAAGACTATTCCAAAACTTTTCTTCTTAGTTCATTTAAGTACTGCCTATCGTTTATAAAAGAGGAAGATATCTTCATATCTAATACAAACGATATTCGTAACGAACTACCACTTTAAAAATTTGACTCCATTTAGGTTTTTATTAAAATGCTGCGTGTTACATATGTGGAAGATGTTAAAGAACCCGAAAAATTTGAATTCAAATTACTTACCTTTATTTAATAAGTCCGGGTTATACTTCTACATACACCAAAAAGTCACTCTAAAATATTCTCTCACACTATGTTATTGAAATTTTGTTTCAAGTACTGTTTATGAGGGGGCTGTACTTCACAGTATCGGCACACACGGCATGCGATGTCGCGCCGTACAGCTTTGGGCGGGCGGCGCGGAACGACTGCCCACAGTCATCCACTACAAACGACTGAACAGAACTGTGGCTTCACCTCGACACATGTAATAACAATACTTCTTCGTTAAAATTCAATGAACTTTTTTCGTTTTCTTCGATAGTAGTGGATTAATTATAGTTTCGCACGAGTTCTTGGCAGTAAAAATATGGGACATTTATTTTTCTTCGCAAAGTATATTTTAGTCCCGATTACGACTATTACGTTGACGTTCTTATAATTACTGGGAACACGTTCAAGGAGACTTTTATTATGACTTCATAGAGTAAATTCTGAACGTTTTTCTTTCCGCGTTTTATTAACGATATTTGTTTGACATAATTTTGACAGCAGCACTCTTGGGCGACGGCATATAAAATCACGAATTATTTTAAATTGTTTTTATTATTGTTACTGTTTATTTTTGTAAATACTGCAAGCTCGTTTTTTATAAGAAATCGGCCTCACAAATGATTATTGGTCACATAGCCACTGTAAGTAAAATACATAAAGTAATATAACATAAGCGTACAACATTTTAATTCGGTAACGCAGAATGTAATGGAAATTAAAGTCTACCATAACCAAACAAGAAACCATTAAAGTTCCATTTAATTCATGTTGTCCATTGGTATGTCAGTACATAAGTAGCATTTTACTTGAAGACAAACGTATCTAAAATTTGCTAAAAGATCTACCAAGGGAGGGCTAATGTATAAGAAAATAAAACTGCCTATGATACGCGTCTGGTTACCTCACAATTGACTTCGTATTGAGGTGTATCTTTGTGAAATTGACCAGGGCTATTTGAGTTATCTTTGTTTATATAATTAGCCTAAAGTTCCATTTAATTCATGTTGTCCATTGGTATGTCACTACATAACTAACACTTTACATATAGACAATAATGCGACTAATTATCTAAAATTTGCTAATAGATACTATGGGAAGGCTAATGTATAACAAAATAAAACTGCCTTTGATACGCGTCTGGTTAGCGCACAATTGAAATTATATTGAGGTGTGTCTTTGAGAAATTGACCAGTGCTATTTTAGTCATCCTTGTTTATATAAATAGCCCAAGAAAGCTTGGTGAGTGTCATTTCAAAATTCAATCAACTAGTACTTATTACGAACATATAGATACACTTTTCTATTCCGTAAAGAACCGTAAGTCATTACACTGATGCGGTGCTAGAATTATCCGTTCACCGATAAAAGTAAAAACGCATTTAAATGATGGCAACACTTAATGGTTACAGTAACTAATTTAAAAGACAATAGACACAATTTGGTATTTTGACTATTCCCTCTACTGCATACGCAATGAGCCACACAAAAGACTATTGGCATGGCTGTCATACATTATTTATTCTCATTTTTGTTCGACAAAAGACCTCTGAAACCTTTGGCGAACGTTCAAAAATATTGGGCAAGAGTCAAAAGTTACTGGATTCAAATGTTACATACATTTGCGTGCATTAATATGTATACATGTAACTAAATTCATATTGGATTTTTAAATAATTTATTATATTCAAATCATTAACGGGTCAAATTATTCGACCTTTATATTTTTTTTTATAATACCAAATGACGAGACGAACAAGTCGTACACCTGGTGGTAAGCGACACTCCTGACCATCACAGTTGAAGTGCCACTCAGAGCTTTAAATCGCAAATATCTGAGGGACACTGCCACTGTGCCCGTTACCCTGAGACATAATTGACAAGTCCCATGTGCCAGTAATTTCCCCAGCACCCTTAACCTTCAAAACCGAAACGCAGTAATGCTCACATTACTGCTTGGCGGCAGAAAGGTACGGTGGCACTACTTCCATCTACCCTGAACTCTTTCACAAATAGCTCTACTGCTACTAAAATTGTATTTTTTTATTGCAAAAAATGAGTAACTACCATATGTAAAGGGCCAGAAACGTCGCTTTGTTTAAAAAAAACAAATATACGCTATTTAAATCCGGAAAAATAGTTTTATTTCCTATGTGTAACAATCGCGAAAACCTAAGAACTCGATAAGTACCATAGTAGTCATCATGATATTCAATAAAATAAATATTATATTACACATAATTGTAATTTAGTTATGTACGTATATTTTCGTGCACGTGACTATACGGCTGGTTTTGTTAAACCACGTTTTAGTTTAATTCGTGTTAATGTTTAGTCAAATCTATGCTGTCGCATTTGATATTTATTTACAAGTGTCACGGTCACAAGCGTTTACAAAATAAGATCGACTGAAAAGGTAAGGGTTCAAATTAAGCCAATCTCAAATTTGAATTTTAAGAAAAACTAAATAAAGTTTAAAAGAATGAAAAGGAATTATCCTTTCGATAAAAGTACAATTTTATTGCCCGTAAATATAATCAAAGTGTGGCTATAGCTACCTATCGTTGAGAGAGAGATTGAGAGAGATTTAATTTTTTATTTTTCAAAGACAAAAAACATTTAGTCTTCACACTCTTAAACCTACATAGGTTTGTCTGTTCATTCAGTATAGAATAGAAGCGGCTTCTTAAAATATACAGTTCCAGACACATGATTCGAGCCACCACGCATTTTCAGTATTAAGTGCCCTAAGCTTAAACAATGTTTGATTGATCAAAAACAATTTTGACACTAGTATACTAAACGTCTTTTCCATAAGTCCTTGTTTGGAATTTGCATTTGCAAAACCGGGGGAAAACTTTTTTTATTGACGATAACACTGTTTTTGTATTCTAGCCCTTTACGACAAAAATGCGAGGTATCTCGAATGATGTGTCCGGGAGTATATTTTTTCTTCTTTTAAGTCACTTAACTTTCTATATAGTAAAAGTTAGTTTATATATTTTTTTTTTTCATTTTCATTTATTACACATAAAAATCTTATAAAACGTGTTTTAAAAACTATGCCGTCTTTTAAATGTTACATAAAAATACGAAATAACATTTAAGCTTTTATTTTCTTTCAATTTTACATATATTTAACTCAATGGATTTCAAAAAACCAGTTACGGACTTGACTGTGCGATTTCCACGCTTTCTGTGTAGTTGCCGCCTATTGTTTCTCCATAGAGAAGTAGCAACAACGTACTGACAGTATTCAATTATTTATATTGAACATTTTATATTGAATCAAACAAAAATAAGGAAATTTTTGTGTGCTTGTTATACTCTTTAAGTACTGTCCATAAACGAAATAATTAAAAGAAATAAAAAAAATTCTTCAATCCCGGTGTCGCTGAAGTTTATTCAACACAGAAGCTCATACCATGTTTTTGTTTAGTTATGTACCTACACTTATGAACTATTATTACAGGTTCTTACTTAATGTGATAGTAAAGCTAATATTATATTATCGCATCTGCCTATTTTTATATTAACCTAGACATTGTTGGTGAAAATACAGGCACATGAGTCTTGTCAACTTATGTCTCTTTGAGATTTAAGGCTTGGAGTGGCACTGCATATGTTATGGACAGGCGTGTCGCTTACCATCAGGCGCACGACTTGATCGTCCCTTCACTTAGCATCATAAAAAAAATTCATAACACAGTACAAATTCGACACCAGGAAATTAACACTACGATAACTTCAAAGTTACAACTTTTCACTAGAGCCTATAAAAGGGAAACTTGCGATAACTTTTTGTAAAATCTAGTAAATAATAAATATAGTGTTTACTTGTGAGAAATTTTTATTGAAGGCTGGGTATTAAAGTATTAGTTTTCTTACTGACAATGTAAATTTGATAATATTAATTTTCAGTTATAGAACGTTGTTCCAAGTACGTCACTTCAATAAAAAAATCTCACAAGTAAACACTATATTTATTATTTACAAAATATTTTACAAAACCTTTTAATTTTCAGCCATATGCTAATAAATTATTTTCTTAATATTGTATTTAATATAAATTAGATGAGTAATTTGATATATTAGTATAAATTGGCATCTCAAAGTCGACAAAATTCGAGTTATCAGCGTGGTGTTACGATCCGAACACTAGTTAGTGTTCAGTGAGAGGACGGATGCCTTTCAATTGAGAGGCCGGCACGGCACAACGGTTCGAAATCCTGCGGTGGCATTCACCTATGACTTTAATTTCTAAGTTACGTACATTTGTGAATGCTTAGTAGCCACACCTCTCGGTAACGGCGAAGAAAATTCACAACTCTTTAAAAACGTATGAAACTCCCAAACCTATCCTAACTACCTAAGTTATGGCCTAAACCAGAGTTCCAAATTTTTCTGTTTTGCGTACACCCCTGCCTTTCTAATATTGAATTTCTTACCAATTCATCATCTACAAATATGCGTTTGACACCTGACATAGTGCTAGTGAGAAAATTTGCAAAAAGAAAACAAATTGATGTTAAGTTTCATATAGTTATCTAACTGAATGTTTTGCTTGTTGTGAAAAGTTTAAGTACTTCATAGATAAATTTATACGTCTATTATAAAATAGTTCTGTGTATTTACATAAGCACTTATGTGTGCAATGTGGATAATTCCATTTACGGAAAGCTAAAATTTTGGTTAATGCGTATAATGGGTAGATGTCGATGAAGTATAATTTATTGAAAATATTTGACAACGACATAATATGTTCGCACCCTTGCTTGGTGTAATAAAGCCTGCAAAATTACAACTTTTTACAGTTTTGGAATATTGAAATTGTTTAATGATATTTCAGTTATGCATCATTAGGGTAAGTTCCGGTAAGTCGAACACGTTAACTAATTTTAACTATTTTTAACCGACTTCAAAAAAAGGTCGACGCTCTCAATTCGACTTTTTTTTTTGTATGTTTGTTACGCGATAACTCCAGTATTTGTGAACCGATTTTCATGATTCTTTCTATGTTGGAAAATATACTTTCATAGTGGTCCCATTTAATTTTGAAAAAAATTAGCCACCTCTAAGGGTGGCTGTTCACGCAAGAAGATTCATTTTTATAAATAGCGCCTAAATTTTATTATAAGGAGCAATTATTTTAATGGTTGATTTTGATATTCTCCAATTCAAGGCGTTTTTCTCTCAATATACTTTGAGTAGTGAGAACCGATTTTTATCATCTCCCGTGTCAAGTCCAGTATAGTTCGCTAGGGGATGAATCCGGGTTTGTGCACTTTCCGGTAACCGATTTCAATAAAACTTGGTAATTATATGTACGTATGTATTTCACGTACTTTTGAGGTCGGTGTTTTTAGTATTCTGTACTGAGATTATTAAAAGATAATTTTGTGCTCTATCCTTTGTTATTTAAAACGGATATTTGATCATTTGTCACTTAGACGCGTTTTAGTTCGTGGACGGCAGTTTTAGAGCGGTTATACATGACGACTTTTAGCATTGATGCAAACGTGATGCAGTCCCTAATCGCCTACCTTTATTTTATTATTAAATCGCGTGCGTGTGGCACACGATTTTAAGCAGCGATGCAAACGCGATGCAAGCGCGCGACTACATCGATACAAACGCGCGATAATGTCACAAACGGCAATATTAAATTTAATATAAATTTGCATGCTGTAACCAGGTAGGTGTGAGACTCTTTTTTTATAAATATGTATAATGTAGCTTTGTAAATCACACTTACTGTATATAAATTTAATAACGCACACACTCAACAATATAGCCCCGCACTAAGAAAACACTGTGACGCGGGTGCCATGGACACACACAAACAGACAACCACAAATTACACCCAAACTCACGAGAGAAATAAATGTAGGCCTTACTTGCGATTTATATGCGATTGCATCGATGCAGTCGCGCGTTTGCATTTAATCATTAAAATGTAATACTCGTATATTATATATACATATTACATCTTTAATATAAATATATACGTATTTAAAGTTAATACCTACTTCACTTCGTTTTTTGAAAGTCGCTGTGGGTAAGCGCGCCTAAATAGTATTATAAAATTTCACATAATACGTTGTGATTGTGTTTTTTTATGACTTTCATGTAACAAAAGCACTTTTGACGTATTAACACATGTGACTCTATTTTACCAATGATACTAGTGATTTTTGATATATCGATAACTCGTTAAAAACTTTGTATATATTTGTACAATGTTTCACACTCTAAACGGATATTTCAAAAGCAATCTGCAAACCAATTTCTTCATAAGATAAACTTTTGTTCGACGCGATTTCCGTCTTAGTTATTGATTTTGCTGTTTGCTCATGTCTCACGATGTGTCTTTATTGCCTTTGCAGTCAAATTGAGGCACACACATATAAAAGTATCGGGTATCGAATGTGTTTCAGTTCTGGTTTATTTGTGGATAATTTATTAAGTTTTTTTTTATTGTTTAAGTAATTGTCCTTTATATTTATACCTAATTATTTTATCATTCTAATCCTCCATAACTTGTCATTACTGGCCAATCTAAGTACAGCTGTGTCTATCTACACGTCCTATACAGGATGTAATCGTTAAGGGTGCCAAGGCGATTATTCCGTAAATATAAGAGATATCAAAAACCTTTAAACTGATCTCGAAAGTACGTCACCTAATGACTAAAACAACATTAATAACTTTTAAAAAATATCATCAGAAATATCCAAAACTTTAACGTTAAACGCTCTCATACTTAATGTAACTTTTGTAGAGAAGCTTTAGCTTCAAACAACAACAATAGCTTTGAATACAAAACTTTACACTTACTTAAAAATAAACATCTCTTTGTTTTTATTCATCTTAACTGCCTTCGTGGCTGAACGGTTACCATGCCGGACTGCCACGCCGAGGTCCCAGGTTCGATTCCCGGACCGGGAGAAATATTTGTATGGCCTACATTTGTTTCTCTCGTGAGTTTGGGTGTAATTTGTGGTTGTCTGTTTGTGTGTATCCATGGCACCCGCGACACAGTGTTTTCTTAGTGCGGGGCTATATTGTTGAGTGTGTGCATTATAAAATTTATATACAGTAAGTGTGATTACAAGGCTATAATATACATATTTATAAAAAAAGAGTCTCACACCTAACTGGTTACAGCATGCAAATTTATATTAAATTTAATATTGCCGTTTGTGACATTAAAATATTTTAACTATCAATTTACGTGCGTGCGTGCGAGTGCGTTATTATTCTATTAAAAGATAGTTTTATAACTTTATTTATAACAGTTTTGTTTTCTTTAAAGTTATTGTTACCATTCCAAGAGGTCAACTAAAACCTCTCTATGAATGACATTATAATTTAAAAAATTTTGAATGTTTCGTTTAAGTTTTATTTTTAAAAAGTTATTGATGTCGTTTTACTAATTGGATAATGTACTTACTACGTACTTTCGATATCAGTTTAAAGTTTTTTAATATTTATATAAACGGAACAATCGCCTGGGCACACTTAACGATTACACTCTGTATATCCTAAACATATAAAAAAGGATAAAAATTAGAACATTTCCACTGCCTGGTTTAAAGCAGATTGGGAATTCTTCGGTTCAAATTAAAAACCTTTTTCAATATACAGCTTTCATCGTGAAGGCGATATAATAATTAAGCCAATTAATCCAATATTTCGTGTATGGGGTAGTTAAGGCTATAAAATTACTTAGTATAGCTCATAGAGGTATTTTCTTCGAAAATATTTTAATAAAATGGTTATTTGGATTGTTATAACCCATAACATAAACAAATTACACTAGTTATATGACCTTCGAATATAAAATATGTACACCCATATATGTATTCCACAATATTTTCATTTAATTTTTTCCAACAGACGTCAAAACTAACCCACCGTCTGTCCAGGTAATGGCTGGTTAGGTAGTTACTAATTACGTAAAAACGGAGGACAGAATTATACGAATACGCAATAATAATAATGTGCCAGACAACTACACCAATAACCTGGTCTCATATTAGTGCATTACCTGTGCTATGAGTACCAGAGTAACGGACTCCGAGGGACCCAGACGAGAGCCAATTTACATAAATTAATTTCCCAAGTTCGTCCTACCGTAAATCGAACTCGGGACCTTCTTTTTTTATGATACCAAGCGACTGCACGAACAAGTCGTGTACCTGGTTGTAAGCGACACGCCTGTCCATAACAGTTGCAGTGCCACTCGGAACCTTAAATCGCAAAGATCTGAGGGACAATGCCGCTGCGCCCGTCAACCAGAGACATAAATTGACAAGTCTCATGTGCCTGTAATTTCACCAGGAATGCTCACATTATCATTAAGACGCAGAAATAGTCAAACTTCCCTGGATGTACTCTTTCACAAGGAGCTCTACTGACCGAGGGTATTTGAGGTCGTCAAATAAATGGTTATGTTTATTTTCAGAGAAGTTACGCATGCCTAAAAAGTGTACCAAACTATGATCCAATTATTCATCTATTTATCGTGATTAGCTTACCATGTGCTATATTTGCAACTGCTTTGGATGGGCTTTGGACTTTCTGCAGAGGTACGAATAATAAATTTTATACCTAATACATACCCTTGGGATAATAAAGCCACATTTGATCATATATATACGTCAGATATTATATCATATTAAAGTCTTAAAAATAATACGAATTACATGAAACCAATTACGTAAGTCATTGACTTACAAATAAATGGACAACGGATCTAATACAAAAACCACGAAAAAAATGTCCCAAGTCAACTTATTTAAACGTAGTGACATGTAAAGGAATATGAAAAAGCTAAAACGTTGAATTTAAATTGTTTTGTCATCGCAGTACTATCTAATTTTGTTTGCAACAATTGAAAGGCGCAAAAAAACACCACATTCAGCTTCTACTGGAAACTTACCAAAGTGCACCATATGTAGCTTCTAGTGAAAAGTACTTGAACACAGGTATAATGTAGCCTTTATTATTTATAAATAAATTTTATATGTGAATGTTGAATTTTATACAATGCCATTAATTACGAGCTAGGGTGTTTGATTTTTTTTCTTGACTTTCGAGAATTCTCATACCCGATTTCTCGAGTTATTTGAAATTTTTTTTGAAAACCGTAAAAAATCAGCTCAATCAACTATAAAACTAAATGTGAACTTTTCGAAAGTTGTTTTGGCCTGGGTGTTCTGAGTTGTACCCCGAAATAAACTCCATCGTTCTTGGTCCCAGGTTCGATTCCCGGTAGAACCAATTTGGGAAATGAACTTTTGTAAATTGGTTCTGCTCTGGGATTATGTTGCTCTGATACTCATGGGGAGTATGTACAGAGAGTTTCCTAGTTTAGACCAAGTGATTGTCTTACAATAGAATACCAAGACCAGAACCATTTAGAAAAGTTAACTTGTTAAATTGATCCTACCGGTATCGAACCCGGGTACTTCTCATCCAGTGCCCACAGTGCAAACCGTTTGGCTATCAAGGTTGTACTATTTGTATTATTATGCATTGTTTGCATGTGAAAGCTACAAATTGCTTAAACTTTTTAAAAATCCTATTTAATTTGCAGTGTCAGTCTGCTTCAATTACCTTCTTTGTTTCTTAAGTTGGTATATTTTGTCATTCATCCAACTTTTGATATTTAATGCATTTTGGCGGTGTAAGATGTTATCTGTCTTGTCACTTTCTCCTTAAGTTCAAGCTATGTTTACTGGATAAATTCCTGTATTATCTCCTTTCTATGCACAGTTCACTCATTGATGTAATCACATACCAAAGCTTTAATATAAATTTAATATAATGCCTAGGCACCAAAAACCAGTTCTTACTAGCAATGTGGGCAAAGCTGTTTTTTTTAATTTTCGTAAGCCTTTGCTGGTTATGTACATACCCGATTGTCTGAAATGAACCGAGCAAACAAATTTGTATATTTTCGGGATAAAATGTTCTTCTCGTCGCGATTCAGCTATTGTTTTCTCCATAGTGATCAAAGTAAAGGATCTCGAGGAAAACTGAAATAAATACATTTATTATGCCATGCCATAAGAAATGTACTGATGTTTTTATTTTTTTAAATTCAAATTCAACGTAAAGCCAAATTTTCATAATCCTGAAAACCGATTCATAATAAAACCGTTATGCTTTAGGGAGTTTTGGATGCTTATTACAAAGAAAAGACTAATGTCCACTTGCACTAAACCTAGGTACGTCTTAAGCCAAAAATTGCAATGCAAAAGACACTCTTAATACATTGTGTTAAGAGTGTCTTATCAATTTAAGCATTGATTTAAGACATACTTAAGTTTAGTGCAAGTGGACATTAATTAGGTTTGTTTTGTAATATTCTAAAAAAAAACCTAAAAAAATACTTTCGGGATTATGGAAATTCATGCAAACGTTATTTCGGGCAAATGTATTTTCGGTCTTCTGATTCGTAACCCCAAGCCGTAGAAAGAGTACAACAATATTTGAAAGTATTACTAACATGTATTAAAAAATATTTTAATAATAACATTGGATGGACAGTCCAATTTTAAAACATTGGATGTCCATTCACATCCAAGAGAACGAAAATTTTAAGTTTTACTAACATAGTGTATAAGTATTTACTAACAATATATGGACTTGTAATTATTGTAAGTCTGATAATAAATTATTTCATTCATTCATTCATTCATTAGCATCAAAGTGACTCTATGAAATTTTTGTTCTAAATATTTCAAACGCTTGTGTTTGAAACAATTGAAATCGACGTGTTGGGTCTCGTTCAGTCTTTTACGCAAGCTATGAGTCGGAAAGAGACAGTTAGCTATTTGTTTATTTTGATTGCCTTTGTAATTTATATTAACGATTAATTTAAATATAAATTAAATACTATATATACTAGTGCATAAAATAACACTTTCAAATGATAACTATGATAACACAATGTAGTACTTACTGAAAATATGATATACCATCCTGTTTTATTGGCTTTAGTTGAGTAATTTTTACAAGGTTTTACTACACAATACGGCATCATTGAGCTGTCAGTCGAACAAACGAAGACTAAAGCGGGAATGACGCTCTGTATACGATTTTAACGCCCTATAAGTTCGGACATTTTTTAGCACGGACCCGACGTCCATATAATTGTAAGTCAATGACATAAGTACAAATTTTTAAGTAAAAAGTTATCGACTAACGATAAGTTGTCACATTGCAGATGTGACGTTATTACACCAAATGTGGGAATTAGGCTCCGTAGGCTTGCGTTATTATTTCAATAATACATCTATACACACTATCCAGTATGCCATTTTATACCTTTATATAAGGTGCATAATACCGACCGAGAGGATGCGTTAGTTACGACCACCCATTTGGAATTATGGTAACTTGGAGATTTCTTTTTTTAATAATATCAAGTGATGGGACGTGCAAGTCGTGTGCCTGATTGTAAGCTACATGCCTGTCCGTAACAGTTGCAGTGCCACTCAGATATTTAAATCGCAAAGATCTGAGTGCCACTGCCACTGCACCCATCACCCCGAGACTTAAGTTGACAAGTCCCATGTGTCTGTAATTTCACCAGCACCCTTAAAAAAAGCCTAAGAAAACTATGTAAATTACATATTGTATAATTTATATAAATTATGTGTAAAATATATACTCTGCAATTTTATAAATAAACGAAAATGTAATTAGACAACAATGGTGAAGGGTAACATATAAACTGAATAAATTAATGAAAATAATGTAGAAAGCATAGTAATAATGAAAACAGGACATTGTGAAGTGGAAATCATCAAACACGAAATGTGTCTGAAGGATGACCGACCACATTCCATAAACGTACAACTTAAATATATATATATATATATAACGTATATATAAAGTGTAAACATATATAAACATATACTTTTATGTGTATGTGTGTAAAGGATTATGGTATGTCATAATCCGCTAATCTACTGCTTCGACCACCCTGTTGGAGGGAAGTTACGAATATACAAAAAAACCTTCAAAACCGGAACACCGTAATGACATTAGACATTACTGCTTGGCGGCAAAAATAGGTAAGGTGGGGAGTACTTCACTGGACGAACTGTTTCACAAGGAGCTCTACTGCTAACAAAGATATTGACACCTAATTTTGTTTTCCAAAATTGTCAATTACTCTGATTTTGCCTAACAATAAAATTGAAACTAAATAAGATATTAAAAAACGGCTTATAGGGGGTTGTAGATCTAGTTTCACAGATTTGAGGTATGTTAATAACTCAATTTAACTAAAAATGTCGATTACGTTTGTTAAGATAAAGGGTGATTCACGTTATACCGTGTCGGGGCCGGCTCCGGTCGCGCGTCTTCTTTTCTGCGTTTGTAGAAAATACAAGGGTGGCAAACTAGGGGATACGAGGTCGGTTTTTTTAGTACACTGTACTGAGATTATTATTCGGATCTAAATCGAGTTTATTTACATTTTCTGAGATCATTATTACACACATCAAAAGAGTCTAGGGATCAAGTACGTTTAAGAGTATTGCTGCAATTAGGGTTAA